TAGTGAAACTCGGACAAAATATTGTCCATCACAGAACTTCAACCTTTATAATTTTGAAGGGAGAAGGTTTTTTGCATTTGGGAATAGAAATAAATAGCTTTTTGGAAGGTAATTAAAATGAACAGGCAGCTGTTTGGAATGACTGGTCAAATTCTAGTGCAGATGGATCTGTGGGAAGAGTGAAGATGTGGTCATCAAAAGCCTATGGTGCCCCAGATTACACTTTTCCAACTGTATTAAAAGACATTCCCCGTGTAGGGAAGGGTGTCTGTATGTTTCTTTCAGTTGCCCTTTGTGAGGAGTTACAAATTAATGACAATGAGTTTAGGTATTTAATATGTCATTATAATATTTCTAATTAGATTTAGGATTAGGAAGAACCAGGGGAAAGCATGTTTAACACATGTTCTGTGGAAGACCAGAGAGGCTATGATGTCTCTTGCTATAATGTCATCAGTTCTGGGTGGTCCTAAAGTCACAAGGGATGGGATGTGCTGGGATGGACCTGGTCTTGGCAGTCCCAGTGTTCAGAGCAGCAGCTGAATCACAGATAATTCAGATAATTCACAGAATGTCAGATAATTTTGCTGACCTGGAGCTGTTAATTCTGTCTGAGGAATTAAAGCAGTGATGATTAAAAAGCTGAGATGTTTGATCATTATAAAAAAGTTTAGCTTTAAAGTATTCATACTACTGAAAGAAGACTCAGATTTCTCTAGACCAAAAATGAGAAAACAAGAATAAAAGGAGACTGTTTCACTACAAAGGAGAACTTAAGAAGGATTTTAAGAACCAGTGGAAGCAGTTAATGCAAAATCATGCTATGAGGGCAATGAAGTTGCAATTATTGGATCTCAAAGCAGGCATTGGTCTGCAGCGATCTGCAATTCAGTGTGTGTCCTATATTTCTTCCTAATTCAAATTTTGAGATTAATTTTTTTCTATGGTGTTGGGTAGGTGTTTCATGATGAGCGACAAAATGGAATCTCTAGAGTAAATCCTCATCCTCATCCAGACAAAATCATGTGTGCCTGTCTGCCTGTATGAGAAAATGTCTTTTTTAAAATCTAGGCACAGGTACATGAGAGGTTTAGTGAAGGTGCTTCCTTCTCCAGAATTTGCTGAATGAGAGGAGGCAATGCTTGCACAGGCCTGGTGGGCATGGCCTGGGCTCCTGACTGTCTTCTCTGGGCTGTAGAACTTGTTCAAAGCTAGGTTAGGTTACCAGAAGTACTGGCCATGGGCCACAGAGGACATTGTGTGGCACTTGGGGGGTGAAATCTCTGGGTGCCACCCATGAATTTGAAGAGCCAAGTGCCTGAGGGGGATATATATGAGTCCGGTCCCACTAACCCACCACTTGAAGGAGAGTGCACAGCTTTTCCAGGAGAGCCAGCCAGCAGTGCAGTACTCTGAAATTCCTTGTTACAAGGTGGGACATGTTTATACTGCAAAGTGGGAGATGTAAGAGTGCTGGGCACACCCTGGCTCTGACACCAGCTGCACAAAGGTGAGAAGACAGCTGAACAAGCAGGCAGGTATCCATGGAGAACTGTCCACCAAAAAAGATGCACAGGGTCAAAATCTGTCAAACTACTTCTATGCTATCCAGCCAGAGAAGGCTGTGGTACACAAGGGAGAGGAGAGTTGTCCTTGTGCAGTGATTGTTCCCCATCTGCTGTGGAGGGCAGGGCTGTTACGCAGGGTTGCTTGGCACTCCACTCTCCCTCCATCACTCTCTTTGGCAACCCTGATCAATGCGGGAACACAAGTGCCATTCCCTTCCTTCACCTTGGCAAAGGCAATTCCTAAACCACACAGATGCACATGGCTTAGTTGGAGCCGTGCTCTGGTGTCCGTCTGGAGAAACTCTCCAGAGCTGGAGCTGGCTGAGTTCAGGTTCCTTCCCAGGGTATCAGGTGGTTTTATCTCAGAGAGGAAAGGCAAGCTTTCAGCTGGTGTCCTTTAATTGTGAAGCTTGGCGGGGGGGAGGGTAAGTGTCTATGAAAGTACCTGGTAACACAGCACTGTGAAGCAGCTGTGGTTGAGGGAGCAGTGCTGTTTAACCTGGTCAAATGAAATGAAGCTGCAAGCGTCACCCAGTATGGTAAATATTGTAGCTACAAGCCTTTCCTCTGTCCATTCTGTACCTGTCTGAGCTATCTAAAGTAATTCTATCCACCTCCAGAAATGAGATCCCTGTACACCCTGCTGGAGGGGACCATAAGGGCAGCACTTCCCACAAGATAATCTGTTGCAAGAGTTTTGAAGTGCTTAGCTCCTCTTTGCCTGCCCCCAAAATGGTATAAATCTTTTTGCAAGTGAAGATGATTACTTGAGCAGGAAAGGATTAGCAGATGTGAGCATTGCATAGCTGGTTGTGCTAGTCACATTTTCCTAAATAGATATTCTGTTAGATACACGCGAGCCAGGGAGTGCTATGGAATGCAGCTCTTTTCAAATAGATGAATACATACATGCCTATGTGTGTGCCTTTCCCAGACTTTCTGTAAGCTTTTTGCTAAACAGAGAATGTCTGAGTAAAGGATTTCTGCTTTCTGCATTACTGGTACCTTTAAAAGGGACAAAGTGTTTTCGGTAACTGTAATCGCATTGTATGATTAATATAAAGTCCTTGTCTGTCTGAAATGTGTTTCATGGATATTAAGCCTCCCAATATCCAGCTGAAGACAGGTACTGTTACTATAGGAAGAGAAACTAAGGCACAGATTCATGGAGCTGATTTGATTATAGTCACTTCATAGCCCAATCCCCTGGATCTTTGTTGAGCAGTGAATCTCTGGTCTACCACAGACCATCCTGTAAGTTTGGGGTGATGCTAAGAACAGAATCCATTTCTCAGAAAGCCCTTTCTCCTTGGTGGATGAGTTCCCTGCTGGATTATGGACCTAAACCATCTTCCTCAGTGTTTATACAGCCTCTACAGCTGAAGCAAAAGTGGTGTGTTGAGAGGATGTGGAAGTGGTACTCTTCCTGCAGTACCCTCCATTGCCCTGGATGAGGAGGAGCACAAACCCCACCCTGAGAGCTGTTCTCTGAGGCAGGCAGGGAATCCTGGCTCTGAGAATGATCCTGCAAGGGGTGGGGCTGCTGGGATTTGCTCTAGGCAACTCAGAGTCTGTACCAGCACTGCTCCCGGTAGGGTTGGAAGACCTGTCTTACTGTTAAAAATTATCTCCTGACTATGTTAATTAGTACTTTCTCTTTGCTTTTGCAAGGCTTATGAATTGTTGGGGAATTTCAAGTGCTTTGTTGAAAGGAACTGAATACAGACAACCTTCTGGATGCTGGGAAAACTTTGCCAAATATAGGGAATCCACACAGCTCACGTACATCCCTCCCATGGCCTTCCAGAGAAAGCCAGTCTTTTGAAGTCTCTTGCAAAAGCAGCTGTTGGGCAGAACAGAAAACAGCTGCAGTCCCTTGTGAACTGGATTAAATTTTCTGCTGCTTGGAAAAGTTCACCAAGGAAACAGAGGGAGACCAACAAATAGCAGAGTCTGGAGATGGACAGCACTGCTGGCTACCTGCATCGCTGTTCTGCAAATTGCTAGCAGACTTCTAGGCAAAAAAAGGTTGTCACACATACTTGGCTACAGAACAGCCTGGGACCCAGCCCAACCTTTCATCTTTCCTGCCAAGAATCTTTCTCTTCTCTCTTTTGCTCCCCCTTGAGTTCTCTTCAAGGAATTTGTCACTCCTGAAACAAGAGTGTCCCTCCACGAAACAAGAAACCAGGCAAAGCTCAAAGCTTCTCCTGCTGAACCAACACACAGGAAAGAGCTTGGCTTTGACCAACTTTCCTTACTGTCTGTAGGACAAATATGTAATTCAGAATGTTTTTGTGTAATTGTGTCCTGAACTCCCATTCTAATCCTTTTTTAGGATTAAAAGAAAGTAGTTAATTTTAGGCTGGATCTCACTGATAACCTTTCCAGTCAAAAGGGAAAATTACTGCTACACTCCCACCAGAGATGCTGAAAAACCAGTTGAGATTGCAGGAGGGGCACTGTGAATAGCAGCCTGAGACAGATGATGGGTTTAGTCCTTTGGCCTAGCATTCTGCTGTCTCCTTTTGCTATTAGAGCTAGCTGTCTAGCTCTAGGCTGGATTTACCCTGCCTAACTTTAGGTGTTTAATTGTTGTGTCCATTTAGGAACCCACAATCTCTGGTCTTACTGCAGAAGCAGCAGTTCCAGGGAGTAATTCAGGCTGACTGATGCCAGTGGGCAGAACACAAGTCTTAAATTTGTTTGTGCCTCACCAAGCTGAGCAGGGAGCCAGGCCAGAGTGCTGTGTCCAGCACTAACCTTCTTTCCCCCTCTGGCCCCCTGAGTCAGAGTGCCCCAGTGTCAGACAAGAAACTGGAGCCTGGAGGTAGTGGTGGCTGCAGTATGGATGTTTTGGGCAGGACATGACCAAGACAGCCTTATTGTGGATTGTCTTAAACTACTATGAACACAAAGCCTGTGGCGCATGACTTACCTACATTTTAGCTCTGGTGATGCAGTGACCATAAACACAATTCAATGAACAGGCTTGAGGTCCCAGCAGTGGTCTGGTGGGGTCTGGGGGAGCTGATAGGTTTGTCTTGCTGCTTGGCAGAATCTGTAGTGACATGCTGAGCTTCCAGTCACTGCAGGGACATTTTAGCAGTTTCTGATACTGCTCCACTAACCAGCCCTTTGGTTCCAGGCTGTCCCACCAGCACAGGAGGATGAGTGCCATGCCCACCCACAAGACAGGTTGCTCAACTAAGTAAACTACAACACCTCTCCCAGTCCAAGCTGTTTCTAGGTGTTCTGGAGGTGTTCACCACTAGAAGGTGGTGAGGGACCATGTCCTTTCACCTCTTCCTCTCCTTCCCTCAGGAAGGCAGATCTCTAACCTTGGCCCAGTGTAAATGCAGGCGGGGATCCCATCAGGTAATAAAGCAATAAATAAACGCATTTCTCTAATGCCTAATCAAAGTTAGAGGCATATGAGCTTGCTAGAGTAAGGCTTAAGGAGGACAGAGAAAGAGTAGGTTCACAGATTTAGATTGTTGTTTTTTTCATTAAGAGCACCACATATTGAAATCCATTCGCACTGACACTGGAAAGCAATCTTACCCAAAACAGGAATATTTGTGTGTAAGCAAGCCACTTTTTGTGGTGCCTTATGAGAGACTTCAAAAGTCCTGTGCTCTGCTCATTCAGGTACTGCAGAATGAAGGTCCAGTGGATTTACCTCCTTTGGCAAAAAGAAAAACATTTCTAGTTGCAAATCATGACTAAGTGTTTGCAGATACTTCTTAGTACAGAGGAAAACTGTTCAGCGTTATGCAAGTTTGTGTGGTTAGCCTCTCATATCTTGTGTGCCTTATGTCTACACTCAATCCACTCACAGGGTGAGCAAGGTCATAGCTTTTTATCACTAGTTTGACATTTCTCTAAATATTTTGCCCAGGTTTTTGGCTCTAACACATCATTCAGATTTCAAATAATTTTTAATATATAGGATTTGAAACAGAATGGCTTTATGAAAGCTAAACTGCAGTCTGTTCTTAATGAAGTTTAAATTGGAAATTTGTCCCTCCCTTCTATTTTCCGTTTCCTTTTCCCCTCTTTGTTAGGTGATTACAATATAGAAAAGCATTCCCTGAGTTTCCATTCCCATCTTCCTTCCTGTCCAGATGAGCTGGAAAGGGGCAAAACCTCTGCCCATCACCTTGACCCTGCAGTAAAAGCAGGGGTGCTCTGGGCTTCCAATACTTCAGATGTTTTTGGAACACAGAGAATAAGCCCTTCTCGCCAGGTCATGGCTTGGATGGGCCCCTCTCAAGCACTGAAATGGGAGGGTGAGGGAGCTTTGGGGTTTCATTCTGGTCTTAAAGCCTAGGAAGTTGTTTCTCTTCTTCACAACATTTGCTTCTGGTTTCTGCACTGGACAAGTCTTTCCAGAGAATTGAATAATCCAGCAAACATGTTTGGAGTTTTTTGTTGAGGAAAATGTGTGTTCTCTAGCCACTCTGACCCTGCCTTGGCTGGTGTTTCAGCAGCTCTCTTCTCTTTGCACTGAAAGAGCCTTGCAGAAGAATAAATTATCCTTCATTGCCTGCACACTAAGAAAAATTTCTAGTTTTGCTGATACGCTGAAATTCCTAAGAGAACAATGTGGGTTTGAAATAGGCAAAGGACAAATGCCCTGAAAATCTCTGATTGTAAATGTGGGGGAGAGCAGCTTATCATAAACTGAGTGTTGTTAGGAAGAGAGTACAGCTCATAAGATCTGCAAAGTGGTTTTGACTTGACAGATTATGTTTTGACTGAGTAAAAAGAGAAAGACAGTTGATGTTCATGAGACAAATTATTGACTGCAAAATATATATGTAAAATAAATACAAAATAAATTCACAAAAATAAATATGCAAAGTTACATATAGACAGCAGTACAGTTTGTGAGTACTAGCCAAGACATGTTACACCAATAGGATATAATAGCCCCAGTCCAGTGTGAGGCCACAGGCAGCATATTCCATTGGTGTTAATGAATGCAGAAAATGGCTAGACTGAAGGGGGGGAAAAAAGGCAGGGAGGTCTTTGAAAGAAGGGCTCTTCCTTCAGGAAGTTTTTGGATGTTTGTTTTTTATGTTGTTTCTATTCATGCCATGGCTGTGAGTGTGTGTGAGAAGGCTTGTTTGTTAGTAAAGCTGACCTGGGAACTCAGTAATGATAATTAGCTTGTACTTTCTTGGGGGTTTTATGCATATGCAGTTCTTTATAGTATGTAGTATACATGACTATGTATTTAAATAGAGGGACAGACCTAATGAATCTAGGAAACACATAGTAGCTGGGAACTTAATAAACACCTAGTTGCAGCTCCCCACCCCTTGAGAGAACTTTCTGCTGAAAGGTTGTTGACAAGATCAAATAAGAGAGTCTGACAGGGGCATTGCTGCTGCTTCTCTATAAACACTTACAATTAAGCTTGTTTAATTTAGGAGGAATAAGCATTGGAGAGTTCATGGAAAGCACTGCAGACGCTCCCTACTTCTCTGTTCCTGACTTACTTGACCCTGCCGCCCCTGCCCTTGGAGAACCACCACTGGTCCTGAACACCAGGTTTGTGCTCTGGTGAGGGACAGTGGTTACATGTTCCCCATAACATCCAGGAAGGCTTCTGCAGAGCTGACCTGTTTCCTCACCCTGCAGTGGGGGCAAGGCTCTACTAAAGTTCAAATGCAGATAAGCTGCAGTCACGTCCTGCCTGCATTATGGAAGTAATGAGGAAAAGACACGTGTTAGCTTTAAACCTGGTGATGCCAGTAGCCAGGCCACCAGGGCTTAGCACAAGCTCGGTTGTTCTGCCAGTGAGCTCCATGTGTTTGTGCAGAGCCTGCTCCTGAGGCTCAGCTCCTTCAAGCTAGCCCAGCCATCCTTGCTGTGCTCTGCAGGCAACAGTGCATGTCCACACAGCTCCTCCAGTGTGCTGCTGATCCATAAGACCTTCAAGCTGAGCCACGTACTTTATAAGACACCAATCTGGTGTCATGTGTGAAGAAAAACTCTGTGGCTACTTGTTACTTAATAAATTGACAGATGATTTATAGTTCTTCCACCTTCACAAGTGACCATGACACTTTTGCTCTTGAAGTATAGTAGAACTTGTTAAGTTCTTTAACTTCCTTTGCTGGTTTTCACCAGGGCTTGGGGTACTGGTGGGTGGTTTAAGGGTAGGTGAGTTGTTCCTCACCTGATCACCTGATTCCTCTGGGCCTTTAACGGAGCTCCCTAGCAGGATGATGACTTGCTCCACTTTGGAAAACCGTGATGAACATGTGCAAACAGGGTCCAGCTGCATGCAAACCTGCTAGTCTTCAGAAGAGGGCATTTGGGAATCCCTGGCAGGTACAGAAGAGCTCACTTGAACTGAGACTTCAATTGCAGAGCACAAAATTTACTGCTGAAATTGACAGTGCCTGTAACAGAAAGTGGAGTAGGTGGAAAACAGAGTTTTGCTGAGCTATGAGGTGCCAGGATATTTAGGAGATCCTTGGTTTGTCTTACCTCTTGGCAGCTGGAACAGCTGCTGCCTTGGCTATTAAGCTTGGGCCTTCCCAGGCTGAGCCAAAACTCCTGGACATGCAGAGCATCAACTGTAGAGCAAAGACCAAAGAGTCGAAGGGTGGACATTTAAGTAGAGTAGGAACAAGGGGACCAGTGAGCAGGAGGAAGTACTCTGCCAACCACAGGCTCTCCACAGACCACAGGCTGAGAAGCACAACTTCCTGAGCTATAAACTTGTCACCAGGGTGGACTAGTAACACAAGCATTCTGCAAGGTAGGGAGGACACTGGACAGGCAAGCCTACTTCATGGGACGCACAAACTTCTCACATAATTTCTATTATCCAATTTTTCTGTACATCCAAGAACCTTACAATGCAGCAAGCTCCAATGACTTGCTTTACATCCTACTTCTTTCCCCCCTCTTTCTGCCTGTCAGACAACAAGAAACTTGTTTATTTCTGACTAGAGGGTGACAATTAGCTGGGTGTGATCCCTGAAGATCTCCTTTCTACTTCTGGATTTTTCATTGTTGGTTATTTTATTTCAGTTCAGTCGTTTGACTTTTGTCAGATGCCTTGGCTCTGTTGTGAAAAAGCACTTATTAAAATCTGAATTTTCTGCAAGTCAGGGTCCATGTTTGGTGCGCAAAATTAGCTTTTGCACCATGGGGTTTTTCAATATATTACTTTTCTGCCTTCCCATCTTCCTAATACTCTGGTTTAGGATGAAAAAACTCCAGAATTTTAAAGATGTTGAAGCTCTTTTGGCAGCTAGGTTGGGTTCAGGGTCTCACTTCCACCACCTGTTGGAAGAAAGAAGAACCCAGCAAGGTGACCGAATTAATCATTCTCCTCCTTGGAGGATTAATTTGATCTGAACCAATCAAGTGATCAAAGAAGGGCTGGCTTATGTGAATAAGTAGACAGCATCAAAAAATGGACATTTCTAAGATGAAAGCAAAATGAAGCTTGATGTCCTCTAGTTGTGGCACTGCGTAACTTCCCTGACAGTGAACTGAAAGTAACAGCACATGAATTCACATGTGCTTTTGTGTTTGAGCAAAGATTTTTAAAAAGTCTGTGTAGTTTGGACACCAAGCTACCTCCATTCAATGTGTTCCTCAACACCTGTCTAATGAGAAGTGATACCAAACCAAAGGAAGTATAGGCAGCTCTGTTTCTTGCAATGGGTGAAACCTTGTACTTTAGTTGCTGTTCATGGAACTCCAATTATTCCTGTAAGGAAAGAAGGTGACTATGAAAAAAAGGGATACAAAGATCTGCCCCTACAGCCAGTGGCACAGAGCCCTGCAGCCAAGTCCAGCTGGGTCGGTTGTGACACAGGACATAAACCATCCCTGTGAGTCTTCTTTCAGTCTTTCAATCTCAGCACTGTCATATCACCCATTCCATGAAGCTCCATGCTTCCAGCTGTCTCTTTTAACCACAGGAATTAGCACTGTCTATTAGCTTCCATCAGGACTGCTCTGATGGCTTCAGCAGCTTCTATCTTTTCCTCCTACTTCAGGTGCTCCTTATAACCACTGTGCTTGAAGGGTTTCCACATGTCAGCTTCAGTCACAAGCTGGCTTGTCTCACATGCTATCTCTTCAGGTACCAGCTAGCTTTGGTGCTAAGTTGTTCTATCACCTGGCACATGGAGTTTGTGACTGAGTGTCTGGGTTTCTCCCTCAGTATCAAGCCAGCTGGCACACATTTTAAGACTAGTGGTTCGTGCTCTGCTATAAATGTAAATATACTATTGCATTTCTTTCCTTGAGGACAGCACAGCAAACGCATGCTCTTGCTCTTTCTTGATAGCTTCTCATTTTCAGAGGGAGAAGTAAAAGCAAAAGAACATAATAATGATGTCATCTAATAATCTAATTCTACAATCTGGTCTATTTAAACAATACTAAGGCACTCAGTCATTACTTATCAGTGCACTATGGAGCATTTGATTTCCAATTTAAGATTTAGTTTTAAAAACACATTATGTCTCTTATCAGAGCAAATGTACAGGAGTAAAGAATTAATCCAGCAGTCCCTGCTGCTGTTTCACACAATTGCTGTGTGTCTCAGCTGCCCCAGGGAAATTCAGAGTGACCAGACACATACAATCCAGCCAGGAAGCCCTTAGTGTCAGCAGATTTTTGACAATATTTTTGAAACCCTTTGTAAAGGTATGCTCAGGCTTTCACCTGCACAAAATTAAGTGGATTATATCTCCTTGCTGGTCTGGTGACTTCTGGGAATATTCAATTGGCAAGTGTGGCTTCTGGTTTCTAAAGCAATGAGTCATGGTGGTCATTACTGCAGTGTACAGTCACTGTGCAATAATTCAAACCACCACTGTCATTATTATTGCCTCCAACAAGCAACCTGATACCTTCTGGAAGCCCGGGGCAGGTGTGTGAATGTAATCACTGAGCAATTAATTAGCCTGTGAAGCCAGTTAGTATGCAGCACACAGCTCCCTGCTTCCCAACTGAATCCAATTTAGCAGAACCACTGCAAGATTTAAACATAGTTTTTACTGTAGGAACTCAATAAATGAAAAGCAAAGCAGGCAGCTCTAGGGACAGCTTTTCAGCTCCACGTCTCGCCTAGCAAAATGAGCACCTGCCTCTATCAGCCAAAGGGTTTTGCAGGACCGTGGGACAAGAACAGAGTTTTATGTTATTTTTGAAAACTTAGGCTTTAGAAATCATCTGATGCATGAATTCTGAGCAAATCGAAAAGGCCAGCTGCTCACCATGGTGGACCTGGAAATCCCTTCAACTGGCAGCACAGCAAGAACCCAGGAGCTGCCTGGGCTCCCTCCTCTCTGTGAAGTCACAGAGCTACTGCAGAGCCAGATTAAATTGCTGGATTAAGCATTCCCACAGCCCTATCCAAATCTTTGTGACAGCTGTGCCCAGGACAGAAGTCAAACACTGGTGCCATAACTGCGTCAACTGGTGTGTCATGGGTCACAGCATTACAGCTGGAAAAGGTCTGGGAGGTCATTCACTCCCATTTCTTAGCCAGCACAGATTTGATTCAATAAAGTGTGTGCTACTGCTCCAAACCCAGCATTTTAAGAGATTTGGACAATGCACTCCTCTTCTTTTGGGAATTTATCCATCATCTCTTCTTTCTTCCCTCTACAGGTACAAGAGCCTGCTTAGCTCCTTCCAGGCTGGTCTGGCTTTTGAGAGGAGAATACCTCATCCCCAAGGGCCCACAAAATATTGGACTCCTGTTGTGCCAAAAAACAACAAAAACGTTATCCACTGCCCTAAATTTGCTGCGCTGAAACACTCCACACACTCAAATAATGAGATTTTCCATTAAGGCAAACACTTTCAGGCTCTTACTTTTTCATCTTGTATGTCTGAGTTTGGAATTATTTTCAATTTTCTATCCATTCTCCAAAAGTTAGACCCTACATGCAGCCTCATGTAGTTCTGTTATTTTTCTTCACCAGTCTGTTCTTGTTGCCAACCCCCAGCTGGTGCTGTGAGCAGGGCTCTCAGATGATGTGCCCGTGGGAGGGAGCAGAGGGATGGATGCCTGCACCCCCAGCGGGGAACCCTGTGCCAGGGTCACTGTGTGCCTGATGCTCACCAGGTCCAAGCTGGTTTGTGTTACTTTCCTGACTTTGTTGATAACCCTCATTTCCCTTCAGGCAATGGGATTCCTGAGCATCAGTGCTTTGCTGGCCCCACCTTACATAATTAATGGCTAACACAATTCTGCACCACAGGAGCTGTGGCTGTACATGTCCCCTGGTGCCACCGGAGGACATTACAGCAATGACCTCCTTTTGAGTCAGGGTTCACACATCATTCAGATGTGACCAGGTTCATATCTATGTGACTAATTAGGGGAGTAATTTTTGCTGTTATGGAACATTTCATTACATGTCAACTTTCCCTTCAATTCATTACTTCTTTCCCACTACAGAGTATGAATACTGCCATCCAACATATATTTTCCTTCCACATGGTTACAAGGCTTTTTTTTGGTCATTTCTTCTGTAAAAAAACCCCAAGTGATGACTCAGGGTAACATCCAAAAGCTGTCTTCCATTGTTTTACTTTATATGTTCAGATTATATTAATTAAAATAACATGCTGTTACCTCTGAAAGAAATTCCCTCAACCATGTGACAAGCTGGGCTTTTATCACAAGTAAAGAGAGAGTTTCACTTATTTCAATTTGCTTTTTTTTTTTAAGCACAGTTCTCTCAGTACTACTCTTGACTATGATCTTAAAAAAATATTTATTAAAATAATTTATTAAAAGATTCTGTGAACTAATACCCTTAGTCTAAAATCAGTACTACAGAGGTGCCTGTATTTTATGAGAAAGCTGTCTGTGAAGGGTTGAGAAAGAAAAAAAAATGCTAAAAATTAAATCTCTGTGTTGCTTTTGGGAATTGAAAGGCTATTTTTACACAAACTGACTTTTGGGACAGACTTACTGTGTTAGGTTAGGCCTTTGACATTACTCTTTTCAGTAGTTTAGGACTGACCTTATTTAAAATGTAGTACCTTAAGATTTGTATCTTTAAAAATAAAAGGGAAAGGAAAAAATATTTGAAGTAAGAACAAATAAAAAGTGAGAGTCCTGTCCTTTCAGTTCTGACATCAAAGCAGAAAATCAGAGCAGCAAAACACTTTTTCTGTATGTTCTCTTACCTTTTCTTTAAATATAAAATCAGTTAATCAAACTAATGACAAGCCCATATTCCCATGAGTCTATGGTCTTATCTATGGTCTGTGACCAGACATTTCAGCACAAGTATTTCCACTGCCTGCAGAGCTAAACACATGTATAAATACTTTGTCAAATCAGCACCATAGCTCAAAGCCAGTATTTAACACCAGTCTGCCATTAGACTGCAGGGGCTCCCCTGCTGCATCGCTGCTTTTGAAGCCATGAAACATGTCTCAGACCCTTCAACTGGAGGGTGGCATCTTGGGGACAGGCATGCTCAATGCTCTGTGGCTCTGGCTGCCCCTGTGCATACCTTTCCTGTGTCTGTGGGCACCTGTACCTAGGCAGCATTGATGGGTGAGCCAAACCCAACAGAGCTGAGCACAAAGCACCCTGCCAGCCTGCTGGCATAGCAATGTGCCTGTGGTCTGATGCCCCCCAAGAAGCATTCCTGATGTCTAAGTGCCCCTGTGTCTGCCTCTGTGTTTGCACTTACAGTCTTTACTCCCCCCAGTTTTCCATTTGCTATTCTGCTTATCAGGGACTCCCTTGCTGTGTTTCAGCCCTGTCAGAGATACCAGTGAAGAGGAGAAAGAGACACATCTCTGTCAGGCCATTGCTGTGCGAAATTGCCTCCAGCTTCCAGGGATCAGCATCCTCGACAAACTCATCAAGACATGTCCTGTCTGGCTTCAGCTGAACATGAGCCAGGAAAGAGCTGGGGCGATCCTTGGCAAAGAAACAGCAGGGGTAAGTCCAAAGCGATTCCAGTTCAGACAGCCACATTTCCTGTCCTTGGTTAGGAGAGCAGTGCTTTTTTTTTTCATGTAGAAGCAAAAATATTTAGCAGATTACTCTCTGTTTCCATTACCATTTGATGCTTTACCTCTCTCAACAGCACAAAACAGATATATTTGCTTTGGGAAAACAAGGAATATTATCTCTGGTTTTATTTGCTCTACTTACCATGTAGAATTATGGAGATGGCTTCCCATTCACCACCATGCCCACAAGTATGGCTATTATCCTAATCTGGAGCAATGAAAAAAACTCTGTGAAGAAAAGGACCTTAGATTCAGGGAGCTACTGCGAGTCATTTTTATTGTAACAACTGATGTCTGTTTTGCATAACCTGAGTATTAGAGAATTATAGACTTGTGCAAAGCTCAGAGCTTGCTTAAGGAAAACAGTGCCAAGAGGAGCTGCTCCCCTTTCCCAAGAGGTCTGAGAGGTGAGGCATAGCAGGCTATAGATGTCCTGGCTGGATCCTTCTGGAAGGACAGGTGTAAATGACCTGAGCTGATGTCAGGGCACACCTGCTCTGAGGATGTTTGGACCTGTCCCTTTGCTGAGTCAGTCTATCCCAGCATTAAATGCTGGCGCAGCTGAGTGACACCCTCCAGCAGAATTGACCTGAGCAGCCTGGGCTGTGCAGTGCACCTCACTCTGAATCAGATTTTTCAATTAGTTTGAGCAAGTGATTCTCTTTGTTTTTCTGCTCTGTCTGTAAGTGGAGATGTGTGTGACTGACTGTGATGTAGCCATGTATGGCCCCAAGCCTCCTCAGCCATTATCCATTCCCTGCAGGCAGGAGGGAGAGGCTCCAAGAGGCTTTGGGGAAGCATCTTGCCTGTTCCTCCTGCTCATGCTGCCCTTGGGCACAGCCTTCAGCAGGCAGGAGAAGAGGAGGTGCATCAGAGGTGTCCCACAACAAAGGCAGCATCTCCTGCCCTCTGTGAGCCCACCTGAAACTGGGTAGCACCATTCCCACCTGTGGTGAAAATAGAAGAGACTGATTTCAATACCAGTCCTGACCCAGGCTGTAGGGTTAAGTACAGCTCAGAAAACCCATCTCCTACTTCTCTGAACAGCCATAGTCCAATTTTAGCCTTTGGATCCATGGCAACCAGGCGTGCCGATCAGGAAAAAAGAAGTGATTCATTTCCAGGTTTCATTTCCCTGGTTGCTTAGATTAAATTTCAGATGTAGCAATATAAGATGGTGCTGTCTGGCAGTCATGGTTAGAGGGACAGCACTGCCTTGTGGGTGGTAGGACCTGGGCAAGGGAACCTCTCCCTGCAGATCCTACCCGCCTCCTCCCTTCAGACACTTACTGCCACAGAAGGTGGGGGCTGCCCTGCACTAGAAATCAGCCTGTGTAGGTTTGCATTTATTTGCATTTTCTCTGCCCTGATGGTAGACCTGAGCCTCTGGGGCTCCATTTCTTCTGAACTCAGAGGCCAAGATGACAGCACTGTGTGAGGTTGTGAAGCAGCCCTGAAGCTGTGTGTTCAGCATGGGTGCTTCAAAGTGATTGAAGATGCCCATATGACTGGGACTCATGGCAGGGAAAACTCCTGGCTTCTAGACAAGATTTTTAAAATTCCTCTGCCCAAGAAATTAATGGTTTTTTGCTAGATTTCCATACATTACAGTTGATTAATGACTTTATCAACTCACACTTCTCTTTCTAATATTAATATCCAGGCTACAAAACTAGCTTAATTTTTTAATTAAGTTTTTTTAAAAAATACCTTGACTCCCTTCTGCCTAAGCTTACTAACAAAGAACAGCTGAAGGTGAAGATTATTTTGTCTTTGTATCTGCACCTTCAAGATACAAGGTAAAAATATCCCTGACAATGAGCTTTAATTAGAAACACACTTAGGATCTCACACAATACAAAGAATGAGGCATTTTTCCTTTTTCTTGGTGGAGCAGCTCTGTGGGAAAGGACCTGTAGGGATGGTGGCCAGCGAGCTGGGTACAGACGCACTGAGGACAGGGCTGTGGGAACAGGGCTTGTTCAACCAGAGGACAACTTCAGGGGACCACACAGCAACCCCTGGTACCAGCAGGGAGGTCATGGAGAAGATAAAGCCAGGCTGTGCTCAGAACTGCAGGGTGGGAGGACAGGAGGCAACAGTGTACATTGAAACCAGAGGGTTCAGACTGGGTGCAGGCGAGCATTTTCTCCCTGTGAGGACAGAAAGGGGTGGGATAGATTGCCAAGAGAGGCTGTTCAGTCTCCAGCTTTGGACATTCTCCAGACTTGTGCAGAGAAATCCCTGACGAACTTGGTCTGGCCTCATGGCTTCAC